AATAAAAATTAATTGGCCAGTGAGTTTAAAAATTTTGTGAAATGGATTTTAAGTTGTAATAATATAGAGCACATTCAAAGTAAAAATTTCAGGTTATTTGAGAAAGATTGTGAAAAGTTATGCGTTAAAAACTGAAAAAAAGTAGGTGTTTCTAAACTTTTGCACGCTACTGTAATTCAGGATTTGTAGTCTTACTAGTTTGCTTATTTTTATCATAAGTAAGCCATGCTTATGACACATGAATTAGTTAGAATCATAGATAAATACTTTTTCCTACTTCTTTTTGATGTTAACCTTAGACCTACTTTAGGCAGAGGCTTAATATGATTGAGTCTTGGAATTATAGGTATGATTGAATTTTTAAAACTAATGGAATGATTAGGTCATGATCATAGTTTTTATTTGATAAAATTGGATCTTCTGTCTGGCTGATTATCTAGTATCTGAATAAATTATTTGAATTTTTTATTTGGTGGCTCTAGTTGAACTGAATATGGTTGGCAGCTTTCTTTATTTGAATCAGCATGTGAAGAAGATGGATTTGGGCGATCAGTTACATAATTAGGACAATAATTAACATCAGGAAATATATCAGGATTTAATAGGTAAATACCCATTGCAGCAAAAATAGCTCAAAATATTCTTGAGAATTACAGCCTGTGACTTTGTGATGTCATACCTTTGAATGACATTATGTAGCATTAATTATTTAATTTAAAGAAATGTTATCTATATAAATTAATTTTATATAGATAACATTTCTTTTTTATTAATTTGAGAAATGTTATCTATATAAATTAATTTTATATAGATAACATTTCTCAAATTAATAAAAAACTTTATAAAGGTACATTCAAAACACAATAAAATAATTTCCGTTTAGAAAAAGTAAAGACTCTAAGTATGTGATATTCAACTTTTACATATCAAAAACACATATAAGTAAAAAAACTTTTTTTCTACAGGCTAAAAAAAAAATGGAAATATCTGTGAAAATGTCTTCTTTTAATAAGGTTTCTGTCTCACGATTTAAAAATTTCAAATCCTATCTAGATTTTTAGTAATAAATTTTGTGACAACCAACCCATATGATAACCAACACCGCTTTACACTATAAATATATTTAAAAATTTTTTTTAAAAAAAATTAATTTTTTTTATTATTTTGAACCAGAGTACACAAAACTACCAGCCCAGGAATATAGCTATTAAAAACAAACCGAAAATATATATAAGCTATTAAAAATAAACCGAAAATGGAAATAACTTGAAACTTTTCAGAAACGTGAAATACTATCATATAATTTAGCATATAAAAGTTATAGCATTAAAGTACTAAATTTTTTAAAAAAATTAACTCTACATAGCGTGATGATTGTAACGCTTACTTTTTACCAATTTTGAACAAAATAACTTTGTCAAACTTAATGCAGCGAATAGCATGGTGAAAAAAAAAAAAAAATCATTTGGTGTATATATTTAGCACATATTGATGTTATTATATGCTGAGCTTCATAGTTTTTACTTGAAATTTTGTTAGCATTTTTAAGTTTTGTATGTGGTGACGGTCGTAACCGTGATGGTCGTAATGAAAAATCTAATGTTTACAAACAACAAATAAAACAACACAAACAGTGATGTAAGAAAAAAAGTTTTAATGATTATTAAAAGCCATGTATATTATGCTAAAAAATTCCACTATAGCACTAAGTTCTTAATTATAGATGTATGATACGATTTTTAAAGCTACACAACAGGACTGTAAATTAGCGTCAATATACGTTTATACAACCCTTACAACTTTAAAACCATGGTATGATATGATAAAATGATTTTTTTAATAACATTTTTGCTTTTAAGTATTTTTATATAGTCATATATATAAGTATATATATATATATATATATATATATATATATATATATATATATATATATATATATATATATAAATAAATAAATATATATATATATATATATATATATATATATAAATAAATAAATATATATATATATATATATATATATATATATATATATATATATATATAATGTTTGTTTAAAAAAAAAGAAAAATGAACGTCACATTTCCTTACTTTTACTTAAGCCAACGTTGGCATTCGCTTAAAATTTTTAAAAATGAATGGATAACTTCAGCAATTTTTTTTTTCCAAATAATTATGCAATAGTTTTTTATTTATTATAAAAAAGCATAATATAAATAAACAATAAGTTACTAAAATTCAAAATGCATTTTCAATGACGTTAAAAGGAACCGTGCTAATTCTTCAATTTTATTTTTAAGTTTAATAATTATGTACGCAACTGAATGGAAAATTTCTTTTAAAGTAATTGCAAATGCATTTATTTGCAAAAAAATGCATTCATTTGCAAAAAAATGCATTCATTTGCAAAAAATGCATTCATTTGCAAAAAAATGCATTCATTTGCAAAAAAAATGCATTCATTTGCAAAAAAAATGCATTCATTTGCAAAAAAATGCATTCATTTGCAAAAAAATGCATTCATTTGCAAAAAAATTAAAGGGAAAGCACTTTAATAATCTTATAAATAATCTTTAATAATCACTTACTTTAATAATCAATAATAATAAAATTAAAAAAAGCACACTTTTGAAAAAAGAATGATAAAAGTTTTCTGAAATTTTTCAAGAAAGAATATAAAATTTTCCAAGAAATTTTTCAAGAAATTTGACGAAAGCTGCTACCAGTGTCTTGCAGTAGTGAAATAGTTAAACCATGTAAATTAAACATAAAACGTAAATGTAAATTAAACATAAAACGAACAACTCTATTGAACCATATAAACTAAATATAAAACAAAAAACCGCATCATACTGCCTTTATTTTTTCTCTGCCTACAAACTCTAATAATAACAAAATATGTATAATTGTGTCATGATTTTGGCTAGCTTCTACAACAAAGTAATAATAAAAATCTATATATATATATATATATATATATATATATATATATATATATATATATATATATATATATATATATATATTTGTATAATTTTTTACTGCCACAAATATTTTTTGCGATTTAGTAAAAAATTATACAAATATTTGATTTTCTGATTGTGGTAGAAAAAATACTTATATCTTTAAAAAAAAGCAAATCTTAAAAAGATATTGCAATGATGTCATTTACCGAAACTGTTATGAATTAAACTTAAAATAAAATAAAAGTTGTTTAGACCTTTCTTTTTTAAAACATTTAAAAATAATAGTATAATATTAAGTAATTAATAAATTATTATATTAAGTTATTATTAAATACCTAATATGATATTATTATATTTATAATATTAAGTATTTAATAAAAAAATATATTATTGATGTTGTTAAAGGCACAGTAAAAAATTAAAACTATAATAAGCATAATAGTTCTACATATTCTATTAAATTATATATATTTCTGTAAATCTTAGAAATTTTTAACAAAACTTTAAAAAGGGAAAGCACGTTAATAATCTTATAAATAATCTTTAATAATCACTTACTTTAATAATCAATAATAAAATTAAAA